TGCCACCTGGGTCTCCATGGTGAGCGCCGGGTCCAGATGTATTCCCAAGCTGCGAACCTCACTCTTCATGGTGAGAGTCACCCCCCCAAAAGAGAGGGAGTTTCCCAAGCCACAGATGGAGGGGCCACCCACCCTCAGGACTTCCATCAGTTCCAGACATGAATCTCTCTCCATTTCTATCCAGAGCTGACAAAAATTACTAATGGGGATTACAAACCCCAGAGGCTGACAGCCAACCCAGCTAGCGCTTGCAGATGGCCGCGGTGGAACTTGGGACCTTCTGCATGTCATGCAACTGAGCTATTTCCCTCAGGGGAAGGAATCATTGGGTCATTTTGCTGCCAACAGAATCTGGACTTTTCTATAGCACACACCATCGCACTGTGGCCCTGAACAGCAATCATATTTAAATAATGAGTGAGAGAGAGAATGGGTATTATTTGCTCATAGCAATAAAGACAATTCTCTGGCTTCTCCTGTTTTACTGTTTATAAGTGGCATGCTGCTAAATTCCTTCCTGTTTTATTCTTCCCTTTGCATGAGTCCACAAGCCAGCTGTTATTGTTATGCGCTAACAAGTTGGAACTAGGCTTGCAAACTGAGATATTTAAGCAGAGCTTTTTTACTAGTTCCACAACCCCAGTGAGTTTCTATGGCCAAGCAGGGATTTGAATCTAGGCCTCCTGAGTCCTAGTCCCTCACTCAATTTCCTATGCAATACCGGGGATTTAAAAGCCAAATAAGAAGTTGAAAGTTTTATTTGATGCCTGAACTTGGGATTCTGGTTTGCCCTGAAACAATCAAGGATTCATATACTGGTTTATGATCCTTGCTTTTCTGGAAGCAACATGCTTGTGTGGGGTGTGTGTGTGTGTGTGTGGTGTGTGTGTGTGTGTGTGGTGTGTGTGTGTGTGTGTGGTGTGTGTGTGTGTGTGTGGTGTGTGTGTGTGTGTGTGGTGTGTGTGTGTGTGTGTGTTTGTGTCTGTGTGTGTGTGTGTAACATGCTTGTGTGTGTGTGTGTGTGTATAGACCCTGAAGCTCACAGACAGCCCTGAGCCATTCACTGTCACTCAGATTAAGCAGTTTGCAGCAGTTTGCCGCCATCGTGTTGTACTTCTGCGACCTTCAGTATAGAAAAATGCTGCCATCCCTTGGTTTTATAATGGGGATAACATCTAGATTTGGGAAAATCGCCATCTGAGCACTGAACTGAGTTAATTCAGACAGATTTGGGAAATATTTGTACCAGCTCAGGGCTCTTCCAAATCAGGACTTCTCTTACTAGAACTGGAATATAAATACTCCTGAACGTGTTTTAGTAATTTGGATTAGGAGGGCTGTCAGGTGTAAATGATACTCTAGTATTTCCTCTTAGTTTTAGGATATAAAGTGTGAATTAGTAAAGCAATGGGGCCATCTTACCTCTGCACGATTTCCCATCTTCTGCCAGTTCATAGGGATTGCGGCAAAGACACAGGAAGGTGCCTTTGCTGTTCACACATTCAGCAGAGGAATGGCATGGAGGATCGGCTTTGTTTTCACATTCATCCACATCTAGAGAGAAATGCAAAGATGATGAAGTTATATAGCCAAAATATCTTCCTGATTCCAAGATGTGGTGAAGCAACACAACATAACCAATACCGAGGATCAAAAGTTACACCACTGAACCACTACTTTCAAGCCAAAGAACCACTACTTTCAAGCACATGTTCAAAGCTAGAGAAAACCCTATAATAAATCTTCCATACAAGTATGCTATTTATCTATTCATGGGGAGGGGGGGGCAAACTACTTTCAAAGAACCACTACTTTCAAGCACATGTTCAAAGCTAGAGAAAACCCTATAATAAATCTTCCATACAAGTATGCTATTTATCTATTCATGGGGGGGGGGCAATAGGTTCTTCTCTCCCCTCCCCGAGTTCATTCTGTAGAATTACTTCTGAGTCCCAGCTGTTGAAATTTGGCAAACTGATCTTAAAAATGCCCACTGTCTAAGGACTGTCAGACGTGTTTTGCAGCTTTGGCTCTACAGGGGGGGGCAATAGGTTCTTCTCCAAAAAAAGGACTCTCGCCTCCCCGAGTTCATTCTGTAGAATTACTACAGAGTCCCAGCTGTTGAAATTTGGCAAACTGATCTTAAAAATGCCCACCGTCCAAGGACTGTCAGACGTGTTTTGCAGCTTTGGCTCTACAGGCTGGGTTATATTTGTTAGATTTTTGACCTGGTGCATCAGAAGACCATATCTACCATTGTAAGCTGTACCACCCAGCATCCCCCTTTGTCTGCATGGTGTCTCAGAGCATGGAAGGGCTACATTGGCCTTCTGCATCCCGAGCAAGATTTCAAAGGTACTCAAGGAACCATGAAGAAAGAAGATGTCCCTGCACGATGACACCTCCTGAACAACGCAGTAGGTAGGGGACAAACAGTCAAAGCAGGGGCCTTCTGGTGGCTAAGTGCAACTGTTTCCTCCTGTTCTTGCTCCTCCTTCTCCTGATCATCATCATCATCACCATCATTTCTTTCTTTCTTTCTTTCTTTCTTTCTTTCTTTCTTTCTTTCTTTCTTTCTTGGGGGAAAGAAAAAGGATGAACAGCCACACTCTACAACTATTTGTGCTTTGCAGTGGCATAGCTGTGGCGCAATCAGCTGTACATATGAAACTGGGCAAGGAGAGAGGTCTCTTTGGCATTTTAAGTGAGAATCCTATTGAAGCTTGGCCATGTATTGTAAACCAGCTTGGGTCCCGACCCTAGGAAAAGGCAGCATATAATATGTATGTGTATGTGTGTGCATACACATACCGTAAATATCTTACAGGACACCTTTCTCTCAGGGAATATATATCAGAAAATGCATTCTACCCTTGGCTAGCTGCTCCGTCCGTCCGTCCGTCCGTCCGTCCGTCCGTCCGTCCGTCCGTCCTTCCTTCCTTCCTTCCTTCCTTCCTTGTGGGTGATCATGGAACAAAGGAAAGGCTAATTGCCTGAGAACAAAGGAATCAACAGTGCAAATGTCTGAACCAGCGGAGCCTACAGGCAATGCCCTGAGAGCTCTTTTTATGGACTTAGCATGAGTTACATAGTATCTTGTTAGAATTCAGATAGGATACTAGTTACCTAATCGTAACTAGGATTGGCTGAAATAACTTTTTGATCCTATGCTCCACCTCTAAGCAAAAGGGCAGAATAAGGGGTTACCATGCCCGCTAACAGCTGCCGCTTTCTGCCAGGTGTGTATGCACATCACTGGAACAGAATGCAGCTATGTACAACCTTTAAGCAGAAGATTCCCACACTTCCTTCCTTTATCTCTCATATCGATGACTAGCAATAACAATCAAGGAAAGTGAACATTTTCTTAACTGTAATTTTATTGTTTAGCTTAATCATCTACTTCACCATTTTTGTAGCAATGGGAACGTGTTGCATAAACAAGCATGAAGCACAGGAAGAGCTTCACATTGTTGAGGGAAAGAAAATGGATGAACAGCCACACAAGCAGTCTTTGGTAATATTTGTTTTGTCTTATTTTGCATACATCCTATTAGAGTTCATTGTTTCCATATGATAGATAGATTGCTGCTTATTTGCATTGTTTAACTTATTATAGAATCTGTGGATATGATTCATGGTATCTATTCATGCAACTTATTCATTCTGTATGTTGCTAGAGCATCCATCTGCTTTAAGGCGCTAGTGGGGAGGTCTTATAATAATTCATTTAATTCATCAACAACTTCATTTCATGGCATGGCATTCAGGTGGATGGAACTGAGGGGGCTTCATAGGATGTTGATAAAAAGAGAGGGCTACACGATTCTCCCTTTTCATCAACAGCATTATCTGAACCTCTTTTTCTTCCAAGGAATGTTGATAACCAGACTTCATGGAAGATCAACATTAACTCATGCATGCAAATGCATTCATCACCCGTTGTAACATCTTCCTGAATATTGGATTATTACATTTCTGCTCTCCCTCATGTTTTCCTTAAGGTTGAATATGTATGTGCATGCATAAGCTGGTGAATTCTGTATACAGTGATTTAGAGAAGTGCAGTGTAAGATAGTCAGCAATTGTAATCTTTCATTTGGACTTTGGATACAGTAGGGGATGTTCTTGTGAAGGACAACTTTAGGAAGATGTTTGCCTCAGTCCTGAGTCGTTTCCCAGTCTCCCTCTTGAGCTGGTTGAGCCAGGCTGTCAGCCTATGCAGCATATGTGGTGGCATCAACAGAAGTGCAGCGTCCAGGTCAAGGGAAGTAATGCTGAAGGAGAGTGGGAGCCAATGAGAGGACGGAAGGTGGAGGGGGCTGAATATAAAAGCTGGTGTATGGAGTATGGAGAGAGATTTTGTGAGTGAGAGACAGTGTGAAACTTAAAAGTGAACTTAGAGTGAGATAGAGGTCTGTAAGAACGCTGAATGGAACAGAGAGTTAATAGAGTTTTAAAGTTAAAGTACAATTGATCTAAATATTAGCATCCTGTGAATTACCTATTGAATATTAATCAGATGTTAACTTCCCTGATCTAATAAATGACTTAAGTTTCAAAAGTACACGTCTCCTTGATCAAATGGTATTAGAGCAATAATACCTGGTGGCAGCAAAGAAAGAAGAAGAGCGAGAACCTTGTGGAGGCCTGGGGGAATAGGGGCTTCAGAGGAGATCACCACAAGTGCCACTTTATTCTGCTTTGGCCAGATCTCACTTGAAGAACTGTGTCCAATTCTGGGCCTTGTTTAAGAAGGATTTTGAGAAGCTGGAACATCTGCCAATTGTATTACAGCAGGATGGAAAAGGTCTGGAAACCAAGCCCTATAATGAACGAAACAGGGAACTGGATGCGTTTAGCCTGCAGATAAGAAAATTATATGATAGCCATGTTCAAATACTGAAGAGATCTCAGGTGGAAGCTGGAGGAAGCTGGTTTTCTTTAGTTCCAGAGGGTAAGAACCAATGTAATGGATTCAAATTGCAATAAAGTAGATTTCACCTAAATGCTAGGGAGAATTATTGATAGTAAGCGCTTTGGGGCAGTGGAATAGACTGCCCCAGAGGGCGATATATTCTCTTTCATCTGAGTTTTCCGAAGAGAGGTAGATGGCCATCTGTCGGAGACACTTTTGCTGTAGGCCTTGGCAGTGGTTGGACTTGATGGCCTCAGGAGCACCTTCCAGCTCTACAATTTGTTTGTGCCTTGCAATGGCATAGCTGTGGCGCAATCAGCTGTACATATGAACCTGGTCAAGAAGAGAGGTCTTTTTGGCATTTTAAGTGAGAATCCTATTGAAGCTTGGCCATGTATTGTAAACCAGCTTGGGTCCCGACCCTAGGAAAAGGCAGCATATAATATGTATGTGTATGTGTGTGCATACACATACCGTAAATATCTTACAGGACACCTTTCTCTCAGGGAATATATATCAGAAAATGCATTCTACCCACATATAGAGAGAGGCAGTGTCTGTGAGTTGGGAATATATGTGTGAACACCAGCTTCCAGCAGGTGCTTGGTCACCAATTTCAGTGGCTTTGGGCTATCTGCTCCCTAAAACACTTCCATAAAGTCCGTCCGTCCGTCCATCCCTGCCTGCCTGCCTGCCTGCCTCCTATGAGTGACAGATCTCCAACATGTTCTGCCCTCAGCAGCTGTGCCCAGCTCTTGTTTCACCAAAAGTCAATCCAAGCCATTGCTGCTTTCTGTCAGGAAGATGGTCTCATCTGGATATCTTAAATTACTGATGTTTCTTCCACAAATTTTCATTCCTCCTCCATCTGAACCTGGTCTGGCTATCCACATGATAAGTTCTGTGTGGACTGAAACGATAAAGGGACAACATGCACTCTTGCCTGGCACCGTTGCTGACAGGAAACCAGGCAGGGAGATTTGGAGTTGGCTGGTTCATGCATAAACGTTTCTTATTTTCTGTGCAATCTATTCTACCTCTCACTTCAGTCATCCTTCCGTTCACACAGGAGATGTTTATTCTCCTGTGACAAGGTGCCACACAAGTCTTTCAAACACCAGTTTACTCATGTGTAACTGTAGTCAGTTTCCTCACAGGTAAGTGTAGATAGTTAACTCACAAGTAAGGTTTACCCTGATTACTTGTGAGAAAGGAGGCAGCAGCAATGGTACTGGTACAAGGGGAAAACGTAAGGGTGAAGTTTGGGGAGAATGAAGGGAGTTAACTCCCCTTTCCCTGCCTTTCTCCTCAGCCAGGGCTCTGCTGGGGTTGTGCTGCTGCTGTGTTGTGGGGCAGAGCCCATGGGGCTGACATTGCTCCCTTCCTCCCTTCCCAAGGCCATCATTCAGTGGGTCATAATGACTTTCATTTTTTTTTTTTACTTAAATAAAGTAGGTGGAAGACTGAAAGAGCAATGCATCAACCTAGCATGGTATTAGGACTGCGCCTTCATCGATTAGGGAATTATTTTTTTAAAAAAGAAGACAAAACTAGAGGAGGGGGGTTCTCCATCCCCCCGTTTAATGTCATAACCCCCCCTATCAAGTCACAAGGTTGCCACCTCTGATAATGCTGACCCCAGTTCTATTTGGGTGTAAACTAGCCATCCTCAAAGACTATACAACTGGATAATTAAGAACCCATGAAACCATGCCCAAAAATACAAATGACTCTAACGCTGTGCCAGAAAGGAGTGAGAGAGCTCTCAAAGAATCTATCTTAATAGAAACAAACAAGAATGGTACAATTTGGTTTGAACCAAACCATACCAACAACGATCCAAATACTAATCTATATGCCCATCTAAACAGGCCCTGCGTCTCCACATCCTGTCCCAATGGTTGTTTCTTGTCCACAATGCACATTACGCATCAGGACGATCAAGTGCTGAGGCACACCTGTTTATTTCAGAATAATTCATTGTTTCTCATGATCTATACAGTCAGAGGCTTTGCTGCAGTCCATAAAGCATAAAGTTGGAGAACAGGTAAATACACCTGTGACTAATGAGTCCTTCTTCCTCCAACCAGCTGGAATACTCAGTGAAACAATAGTTCCAGGTGATTTATTACTGTATTTGGAAAACTTTGCTTTCAAAGCACAGCTTTGCCTCTGGACCCAGTTCTCCTCAAATTAAATTCTTGGTTTGATCTCCCAGTAAGGCAGCCAAATAAAAGTCTGTATGAAAAGAAAGCTCCTCTAGTGGAAATATTTTTCCCTCCACCTTAATACCTCCAATGAAAAATGCAAGATGAGAGTGAAAAAAAAGGTGCTGGCTGGAAAAAATGACTTTAGTGTGTGGTGTAAAAGAATTCTGTAGAAATTCATTCCTCAGATTCGAAAGGCAAAGGCCAGGACCTGAATACAGAGGCTCATTCACACAATGGTGGTGTCTCAAATTATTCTAGGGTTGTTCCATCCCCCGCCCCCAAATCTTGGGTAGAGTATTTGTTGCTGAATGTATTGGGCTGCACTGGGTTGTTGCAGCGCCTCCTGTTCACAGACTTGCAGAACTGCACCCTGACATCTTGTTTCATTATAGATTGCTGCCCTCTGTTGCATGTCTTCTCCACCCTCACCACATCCACTTCACTTCTTCCTCCCTTTCCTTCTTGTTTTACCCATTCATGGGGTATGGAAGGGAGAAGAGTCAACAGCAGAAAAAAAATGCCAATATGGAAGGATCATCTAATGAAACACACTCACAAGTCAGCATGGAACAAGGTATTACTGGGGCCCACACAAGCAGATCCTGCACGGGAGCAAGCTGGAGTAAAGCAGAACAAAATTGTCTGCCAGGAGTGTAATCCCCCAACCCCTCCCCAAAATACCAGAAAACCAACATTGTTTTTTTTTCTCACTTTGACTTTATTGACCCTAGATTTCGCCCTGCATTGGGTGGACGTAATGGAAATAGGCTCTGAGTTCTAAACAGAGGTTTTCAAAGACATGCATATTTAGAGAAATGGATTTATTATAGTAATCATTGCAAAGAAATAGAAAAGAACAAGAAAAAGAGAAAAACAAGAGATTGCTTCCATAAGATCTCAGATATCAAAATATAAAGACATTCAAACCTAGTTTAGAAATATTTGAAAAGTCAACAGGGAAATAATAGCTGATCAGAGTAAAATGAAGAGAAGGTGGAAACAGTACATTGAAGAGCTACAAAGAACAGCCGCAAGGACGACAAACACCTTCAAAGGAGAATCTTTCAGTAAATAAGCTGTGATTTTACAGAGTAAATTAGAAGCTGCTCTCCAACTAGTTGGAAGAAGAACTGCTGGATAGCTGAGTGGTTTAGGATTCTGGCTGCAGAGCCAGAGGTTGGGAGTTTGATTCCCCACTGAGTCTCTTTGGCAGGGGTTGGACTTGATGAGCCATAGGGTCCCTTCCAAGTCTGCATTTCTAAGATGATGATGATGATGATTAAAATCACCAGGAGCAAATGGGATAGTAACAGAGATATTTCACATTGCAGAGACTGAAACTATCACAATACCAACAATAATAATAACATATAGAAAACAAAATATTAGCCACCATACTGGAAATCCAATGCTAAAGAAAAGATTCCAAATAACTACAGTAACTTGAGGACTCTTGGGTTCATTTCCTATGCAAGCAAAATCATGCTCAATATTTTACAGCACAAAGACTCTTAACACATATGGTACAAACAAAGTCATATGTTCAAGGTGGATTCAGAAAAAGCAATTTAGTGGTACATGACAACAGTATCCAAACCCAAGGAATTAAAAGATTCAGCCACGCAGTTGAAAAAATGAAGAATTTGAACCAACTTACAAATTGGTTTGAAGATGGTAGTTAACACCAGTGAAACTGAATTGTATGGACGAGAGAGGGAGAGAGAGAGAGAGAGAGAGAGAGAGAGAGAGAGAGGTGGTGCCAGAGGAGAACTTTGTAGATATCCTGGACTACCAGAAAGGCAAGTGGGTCCTGGATCACATCATGGGCACATCATGAGAAGACAGGATTCTTTGGAAGAAAGAATACTGCTGGGAAAGGTGGAAGGCAGCCATAAAAGAGGAAGACCAAATATGAGATAGATCGGCTCCCTTAAGGAATCACAGTCCTGAGTTTGCAAGAGCTGAACGGGGCTGTTGGGGACAGAATATTTTGGAGACCACTCAGTCATAGGGTTGCTAGAGGTCAGAGGCAACTTGATGGCACACAACAACAACAACAACAACAACAACAACAACAACAACAACAACAACAACAACAACAGAACAGGGGTGGGTGGGAATGATACACTGTTTCAGCAATCCCCACAGCCTCTACTCCACTCTCAAAATTTCAGACTCTTCTCCAAAAGACTCATGTCTATTGAGGTAGAATTTTCCTGTAAAATACAGCATGGAGGGCACACTTTTTAAGCAGAAAATCCAATGCTTTGACAACATTGGGAGCATATATTCCTCCAAAAGTGATCTGACTTTCAAGTCACTTTTGCCCTCATGTGCAGGGTTGGTGAGGCTCTGGAAGGGTTCTGGCCTCAGAAAAAAATGGCCCTCAGCTTTCTGCAGCTGACCTGCTCACACGCTAAAAACAATTATGTTTAAACATTCCAAGATGGCAATTATACGTATTCCTGTTTGAGCAGTAGGAGGCAACTAAAACATATCAGCACCTTGACAGCGTGGTGGTGTTGAATTCCACCTCCCGTTTGTACAGGATAACTGTTCTCGTCCTATTAGTTTGTATCCCTGGTGGCACGAGTAGATCACCACAGATTTTCCTGCCTCTGAGCACTGGATGAAGTCACCATTCTCCACTCGTGCTGGGAAGTCACAAGTCAACTCTTTAAAGAAAAGAAAAACATAATCAGAATACAATCAAGTTTTAAAACTAGGAAGCATAAGCATGGCTAGAACATCAGGCACCTCCGTGCCCAGACTGAGGAGCCAATGTTATATCCACTTGGCCCGGAGCAAGTTCTACTGAACTTAATGTCTGAATAAATATATCTAGAAATAAAAAGGGAGCCGTGTGGTCAAAGCAAAATAAAATTCAAATGCAATAGATAATACCTTTATAGACAACTTTAAAATCATCGTACTATTGTATGATGATTTTTGAATGGTCTATAAAGGTATTGCCTATTGCATTTGTACTTTATATCTAGGAATTCATTCTCAGTGACTTCTTCTTTTACACACCTTAGTATCTTGGTGTGGAAATTGAATTATCTGGCCTTGACAATTTTTAAAGACAAATATGCATATCTAATAGATTCACATGTACCCTGTGTGGTGTAGTGGAGAGAGTACTGGACAAGGAGACCTGGGTTCAAATCCCTGCTTTGCCATGGAAACTCCCTGGGGAGGGAGTGGAACTGGTAAAATCACTCCTTGAGCTTCTCTGTTATCTTGAGACCCTATTAGGGTCACTATAAGATGCCAGCACACTGCACACATGCGCAGACATACACAGAAACACAAACGCAGGAAAAATATGTGCATTTTATTGCAGTAATAATGACAACCCTGCAATAAATTAAAGATTCTAAGAGATATATTTGTGAATATATCATCCTACATCATTGATTCTCTTCTTCTAATGCAGTCAGTTTCGCTGGTAGAATATTGGCAGAATTTATTCTTCTTTCTGTTATTGCGGGGATAGCTGATATTGTCAAATATATTGCACAGAGATATCCGACAGCTGTGATTGAATAAAAATCATTTAGCTGTAACTAAGATGCATATCCCGCTTGACAGATCTGATTTCTTTGCTCCCAAAGATCAGGCACATATAATAGATTTAAGCTATGCTTAAAGGTTTTTTGCTAGTTCTCTCAAATGTTTATTCCTCTTTGACCTGTCACGGCGAGAGCCTGACGCATTACTCATATGAACACCAATAATTACTACCTTGAATTTTGTACACATTGCGGATTGTATCCATTTCAATATTTCCTTCAATCAGTTTCCCTTCATACTAACATCTAATATATATCTTCTGCAAAATCTGATTTTTGTGCTGCCCTAGAGCCATGTTTCCACTGTGGATGTCTATGCTGTTTACGGAGTTGCAATCCAAGGCAGCTGAGAGGGTGTCCTGGGACCATGGATCTTTCCTTTTGAGGACTAAGGCTGAGCTCTGACCTTGGAGGAGTCCTGGATGAGCTCTGACTTCGGATTCCTTTCTGTTCTTTCAGCCCCAGGAACCTCTCTTCCCATATTGGATTCAGGGGAAGGGGAAGGAGGGGTGCTGCTCTAGCATATCAAAGCTTTAGATCACCAGCATGAAGCAGAAAATAAAGAACATGCTCAGCATGGGAGGGAAAGAGTAAAAAAATGAAAGAAAGAATTTCAATTCTCCCCTGCTTCCAGCTTCCACTCTGTGAGCATGATGGCAGTATCAGATGCTCATCTTAGGATTTCCTTGCTAACCCACTGTTCCCCATAGCATCTGAGTTCTCCTGCTGCCTGCACTTCTATGTTTACATTTGTTTCTTAAGTTTTCCCAATCCCCTTATTCTTAAATGCATCATTCCATCACACCGATATATATTACATTTTTCTATTTCATTCAAAATAGGTAATTTATGAAACTGTCCTGAATAAATCATTTAGCCAATGCCAGTTCTAGACCTGTAATACCGTTGGAGGTTCTCCATGTCTCCATTGGCCATTTAAATCAGCTCAGCTTCTTTGAAATGTTCAGTTAGCATTTCAGGAGCATCCTAAAGATAGCCTCAGCCTTGACCACATTCTTTTTCTCCGAATCCACCCGTAGTTCCTACCTGGCCCTATTTTGTATTAGGTAATGATGCGTTGTTGAATGTGTGTGAAAATTCGTGTGCATTTTGGTATATATTTTGGTTAGTATATGTAGTTTTTCATGCATTCTCTATCCATTTTCCCACTGACTAATCTGTCTTCACATTTTTGAAAGACACATTCTGAATAGTGTACATTTATTAGTGTATAGTCTGAAGAGGAAAAATAATTCAATCTGCCACTTGTGTCTTTTCCCCCAGTAGTGGAGGCTACAGTCCAACAACGTCTGGAAACCACATATTTCCCATTCCAGGCTTGCTGTAATGCCACGGTGGGAGGTGGTGGGAGGACTAAAACCTTAGTACTGAGCAAGATAAAATTCACATATGCTTACATGTTTCCAAACCACATTTCTTCATTGGGAGTGAAAAGCAGAAACAGACCCTAAACCACATTGTTGTGTGGTCAGGAGTCCCTGCTTTCAGGGTTTCCAAAGTAACAAAAATAACAATCTTGTGGTGTTGTAAAGATCAAGAAATTGTATTTGGTGTAAGCTTTCATAAGCCCACTTCTTCAGATTTATGGAGCATGTCCTCAGTAGATAGATATCAATACAGATATGGAGAGGAAAATATAAAAGGTGAGGGAAATGCAGAAGTTCAAACATGGTGATGGTCTTACTGATGGCCAAGTAGAGTCATAAAGGGTCGAAACAGAGGGGGCAGGAAATTGGAATATGAAAAACTACAAGTAGAAGAAATTGTGAAGACACTTGTCATCGAATATACAACAGCTAGATAATAATACAGACAAGCTTGAATAGAGGAACTGCTTAACAACTCTGGTAAAATAGAACATTCTGTCCCTGTTTAAGCCAACAAGGTATGCAGTAACTGTCAGAAAAGGGGTGTATTGGTGTATACCTATTGCCATTGGAATCTACTTTTGATGTTGTTTTGTTCAAGGCCATCCCTCAGGCCAGAAGCCAAGTATTTCTGATTATTATTGACAGAGCTGTGTTCTTCTTGGGGAGTAGAAAGAGGTCAAAAATTCCGGGAGTCACTGCTTGTGAAAAATGATGTAAAGCACATGAAAAGGTGAGCGTGTTTATGACATTACAATGTGGATTGTATCAGTAAGTCCTTTAGCAGTCATGAGGACAGAATTAGCATCGGGGTATGTAATAGACTCTGGTTCCTGTTTGGTATATCTACTGCAACATCTGTTGCTGCTGCTGAGTGATCTTTCCAGGGTAGGTGGCTGTGTCTATTCTCAATTATAGACCTCCCATCTTGCAAGAAAGATGTCCAGGCTGGGCTCTAGATTGCTTACTGTATGTCTGAGAGGGTTGGGCTGGAAACTAAAGATTACAAGAAGCAGTGTTCTGTTAGGTTCTGGATTCCCACTTAAGAAGATGGATGATTAACACGTCACAACTTATGGGAACCAGACTAGCCTTGTCGATCTGTCCTGCCACCCTGAGACTATTTATATCCTCGGTTTAGCAGGTGTAAGCAGATGTGATTGAATTGCAAGGGTTGGTTGCAGACAATGAGTTTTGTACAGTGTGTTGCAGGTCCTTATTTTTTAAGATGCAGTTCCAGAAATATTATTACTTTGTTCCCAAATCTAATTAGTTATCTCTGTCTTTAAAGAGATACCTGCAGGCTATGAGCAGTTGCAATTACTAGAAACCTAGGCATTCTTCACCTACAGGAGACACAGCCTTATGTTTCTCAACTTGGTTGTTGTCTACATGTGTAGAGAGCAGGCAGGTTGGAGTTCTTATGGAATCTGTAGTCAATTATTTAACTTATTTTCTGTGCAATGATTTTGTACGTTTGCTTTGAGGAGAGGGTATTTCCTTATACATATGTATACCCTATCTATATTTGGAACAGTATAACATGGAATCTTTGGTCTGTTTCAGCTTGTTAGCAAAAGTAAAGGAGAAAAAGAAAAGCTGGGGGTAGGGAGGCAAAATAGTGTAGAATTTATAGACTAACACATATATTTCAGCATGGGGTTTTGTGATCCAAATCCATTTCTTCAGACATTTTTTTAATTTGTACATCATCTGTAGATAAGCTGCATTTATATTACACAAGGCTATCAAGTGTGGCTATTTTATCAACTCTTCTAGCTGTACCTTTGATTTAATTGTTGCTGTCACGTGTGTATTTATGTTTTTTTAGCTTGCAAAGAAGGAAATGTATTCTCAAACACGTCAGCATATGTGAACAGTCCTTAAACATGATCTTACCCAGCGCTGAACTTTTTGGCTTCTCCCCACCTGCTGTTTTCTCCATCTGTGGTGTCATTTTAAAGCCACACAAATCTCTCAGATTTGTTTTGATTAAGCAAGTGCCCAGATGACCACATTTTTGCACTTTTGACACATGTAAGAGATCATCAGTGGTGTTAGTGATGTAACTTGGTGTCACTTACTTGGTTTTAAACTAGTAAACCAGCAGAGACTATGATTGGCATGGATAGCCATGGAAAAAGTGGATTTTGACAGATGTTTTTGCTCCTGTCCTCTCCTTCCTTTCACATATAGGAAAGATAAAGAAGGCTACTCATGCTTCAGGCCAAGAAAGAATCAAGACTGTTTCCTTCCACTATTCAGCATGTTGCCCATTTCCAAATATTGCCAAGCAGAGGGAGGACCTGCAAGATCCCATCCTGCTCCCACTTACCCTGGAGTAAAACTGAATGGACTCAACTGGGCTTACTTCTGAGATGGGTAAAACTGTACTCCTCATCTTTGAATTACCTTGTTGAAGTGTCTCCTGCCAAGCTCCTAAATCAATGCTGGGTATATTTTTGCAAGGTTCAAAATTTTGAGGAAATTTTCCAAGCAGGAAGGCTTCAAGGGGTGCTTCACTGAGGCCAGAGTTATCACAGATTAATCTGGATAATGAGTATTTCTTGAGTTCATTCCTTTGTGGGCCAGTGAAAACATTACTGTTTTCCCACCAAAATCTGCACAGAAACAAGACCAAAAAAATATTGCATGCAATTAGTATAGGTGATAGAGAAGCTGAGCTTGCTGATGATCTTTGATTTGCAGCTCTGTTGGTCTGTGGCAACAATATTCCTTAAAAGCTGTGTAAAAAGTAAAGGTTCCCTTTGACATTTAGTCCAGTCATGTCTGACTGCAGGGCGTGGTGCTTATTCCTGTCTCCAAGCCGTAGAGCCAGCGTTTGTCCGTAGACAGTTTCCGTGGTCACGTGGCCAGTGAGACTAGACATGGAACAGCATTACCTTCCCACCTTAGTGGTACCTATTTATCTACTCACATTTTTGCATGCTTTCAAACTGCTGTGTAGGCAGCGTATAAAACAAACTTAAAGAATTGTCTGAAATATTTGGGATTATATATTGTATGCCCAATAACGGCTACTTGTTCTCATCTATGTGCACCTTTGCTGTGTGTTGAAATAGAGGGGTCGTTCATCTTCCTGTTAGAATAAAAGCTGTTACATAATTGGTACTTCACCGAATGGCTGCCTGGGCCGAGTACATTGTTCTGCCTGAGAGAGAAAAGAAAGCTGTATCTCTCCCCCCCCCGCCACTGCCGCCCACAAGTCCAAGTGTTTAATATGAAAAGCCAGCTGTGTTATTTTGACCCACCTTGCAAATGCATCTCCACATTCCCGGGAACTATATGACAAAAACAAACCAATATTGGCCTTTTCATGACAGGTAACACCTTCCACCTGCGGTACCTGCCTCAACTCTGTCTAATGGTAGGGCTCCTCCTGCTACATTGGGATGTCCACCAAGTGCGCTTGGGATAATTTATATTATTGCTTGTGACAGAAACGATCTTCTAGGTGCGGTCAGTATTCCGAGCAACTTGAGCTGATGCCCTTGCTCTTTCTTAGCAGAGTTTTCAGTGGGCTCAGCGGATCTCGAGAACGGTCTCAGGAACTTTAACAAGGAAATCGAAACACAGGAGGGGTCAGGGAGCACCTTTTCTTGTAACCAAGTCCATTTGATTTATTCCACAACTTGCGCATGGGAATGTCTTGGTTTACTGGTGCCAAAAATGAGCCAATTATGAGAAATATTATAGTCAATGACTTCTGAAAAACATGGACTCATTCTGGATCATTCACCATGGACAGGTGTCCTCCATTTTTCAGCTGTTCCACCCCCTGGGGTGAATTTTAATGATGGCACAGACAGGCATCTGCTAATAGGATTCTGAACCAACTACAGAAGGAACTGCTCATTTTTCTTGCCTCTGAGCCAATTGCTTGAATTTTTCTGCATCATAGCCAGAAGGTTATCTAACAGAGATACTTTTGTAATCAGAGGAAGTACATATTTTTCCATTCCTTGTGCCTGCTTTAATAGGGTACTCCACAAAAGTACACCAGGAAGCCAGGCTGCTCTGTGCAGCCCCAGTTCTGCTTTGCACACTGTTGCCCAAGAGACTGCAAAATGCCCAATTTTACTTCCTTGATAACACCCCCCCAACCTGGCCTTCACTCAGACAACGAGGCCAGAATGAGACTGAGTGAAACAACAGCCAGATGCTGGAAGCAGCAGCTGTAGCCCCAAACCTTTTCTATGAATCTGATGGATGGGCAAGCCATTTTGTCCTTTGCCTAAGGTAGGTTTTCAACTGGCCCTCCAAAGAAGGCAGAGTGGAAAGGAGGACCAAAAACGACAGCTTGACAATAACAATTGTTGGCACTTTTCTCACAACCACTTCCCTGCATAGTTATTTCACTCTTCTGATAAGCACATTTCCTCCTCTATAAAGACCTGGTAGGCCAATGATATCACAGTCTTATTGTGGGGTTTCGTGATGCTAGGAAACCCTAGCCAGTGCAATCCACAAGGCTTTAAAAATACTGTTACATCAGGCTCTACCTCTTTGCCTTGGCCGGGTGTCAATCTAGAACAGTGGTTCTTAACCTTTGTTACTCGGATGTTTTTGAACTGCAACTCCCAGATCCGGGTGTCAATCTAGAACATTTGAGAGGAAAAACGATTCACTTACTTGGCAGAACATCTGTTTCAGTGGTCTTACTTCTCCTAGTGAAAAGAAATTCGATCAAACAATGCAAATAAACTTACCGATCGCCATCTCTTAGGGCTTTCATTTGCTTTCCAATTATACATGCAAATAATGGTCCTGTTCTGGCATTCGGAAGAAGGTTTTCTCCTATACCCCCTAGCCAGACATCAATGTTGTTGGGGTTGCCGTACAGCTCCATGATCTTGCTGACAACCTTCCTGTTTCCTATCGCAGTTCCCAGCTCATTCTCTGTCATTAGTCTGGGCAAATCACAGAATTCTCGCCACTCATTGTAACCTATAAATATTGCATCCACATTAAGAGTCAAACATTTTTCTAGAAAGAGCCATCATTTCTCTGAAAATGCAGCTTAATTCAGTGATAAGGCTGTGGTTCAAGCAGGGGAGGTCAACAGGCAGTGGAGGGATAAAGCATCCTGTTCAGGTCAAAGCATAGCAAGGGTCTTAATTGCTAAAGTGCTGGACCCAATCCTTACCTATGGTGAGGGTTTCTGATCTAGTAACCTTTTGTTATATCATTAGAAATGTACTATATGCTGATTATGATACTTGGTGCTTTTAGGGGCATTACGTCTTCCCCCTTACATTTGTTGAAAATGAATTTCTCCCATTTATATCCCACCTATTGTCCAAAATGTTACAAGAGACTATTTCCAAGTTGATATATGGAAAAATAAGACTCTAAGGTAGACAAGGCTGAGAGAAGGAGATTTAGATTCACAGAAAGAGCTTGGGCTGGGGTTTTCAGTGAGACCTGATGACCAAGGTGCAAAGGGTTAACTCTTGTTTCAGAGCATGGAAAAAAGTTTGGTATTTTGGGGGGCTACAACTCCCAGAGTTACTCAGCCATCATGACTCAGAGTGCTGTAGTCCAAAAAAACAGAATGAATTTTTAAAAATCAATTTCAAAGGTCTGCGCTGTATTCTTTGATTTGTGCCAGGACTGTTTGATCCTGCTCAGTAGTCAACAGCTCTCCCCGAGGTCTCTTACGGAATTGGGGGGCCAAGGTCTGTAAGCTCACTATGGAAAATTAATGCCTGCTTTTAGAGCTGAAGGTAGCTCGGCTTTCCAATTAAGTTACAACGTGTTTCAGAATCATGCACAGAGAGACTGTGAAAAGAACTGGTCAAAGCATAGAGAAATACTGCAGATGCAAAGGTAGAAATGTAAATGCTTCCCCTTTTGTTTTTAATAGCTGTAAATAAGCTATAATTAAGGGGCTCAGAAGAGATCCAGTCATCGTTACAGCTAAAGTTGGCGTCCTCGCACTAAGGGGATAATGACCAAAAGAGGAGAGGGCCAAACCAGAAATGATTGGAAGTGTCCACCTCCAGTTTTGACTTTGGTTTAGGGTGGGGCTTCTCCAGTATAAAACCCACTGATCTGGGAGGCCTCCAGAGTGCAAAAAGCCAGTGGTGGTGGTGGAAAACTGGGAAGATCTGGGGGGGGGGCGCAACTCTTTATGGGGATGTTAGGCCCTCACAATGGCCCTTAGGCCTGCATGTGATTCTCAGGACACTCGTCCCCCGTCTCTGTCACAACTGGTGTGGAAAACGTAACTGTGGATATTTTTGTAATAGGAAAAGATCACATTTTGGAAAATCCATTTGATCAGACTGGAATGGCGATATTGTCTTAGTGGAAAGTACTTTTGCTCAAGTGACACTTTCTGATTTTCACTGACATTCCCTATTCATACACACACACTTCCCTGAAGCAACCTCATGAATCTCAGTTTATTCTGTTCTAGAAGATTCCCCCCTCACTCTCAGGAACCTATTGTTGGGAGCCAGGAATATAGATATAAGGGAGGCATTGGGAAAATTAAGGGCTCTGTCTTGCACCACTTTTCTGCTAAGGCAAAGGCACATGTAGATGTCATCTGCTTTTCTTAATCTCCATGGAAAGGTTATGGGTATATGTGGCTAATCGTGCTTGACATCACAAAGGAAATGCACCATTTTCTACCCTAATGTAATGCCTTAATCTATAGCATCGATTTTTGAAAAAGGCAATAAACCTGGAAGGCCGTGATCACGTCCCCGTTGTAAATCTAATGATGCTAAGTCCAGAGAACCATTGTTAGACAGCACAAAAAGCCTCTTCGTCAATTCCTCGTTCATCAGTTGGTCTTGTAACTGTAGTTTTGCAGCAGTTGTCAGCATTCCTCTCAAAAAAGGATCTAAGCCACCTTTGGAAACACAAGGATAAGTGAGAGTAACAAAAAATGTCTTAATGGCTGCAACCCTAATACATGTCTTAAACCTGTTAAAATAATTTTGCATGGGCATCTCCCCTGCCAGCATCTCCCAATAGACCTAAAGTGATTTAAATTAGGGACAGGCACATTCCATGAAGTCTGTTTCTGTGGACTTCTGACCTCTTTTGCGATTCACATCTGGTCCATGCCTGGCGCTGTTAGATTCCCCTCCCCCCTTTTGTTAGTGGTATGAAACTCATCTTATTTTGTGGCTATTTTCCTTCAAAAGTGCACAGTTTGTACGCAATTTAAAGCTTGTGTGTTGCTGGAATACATTCCTCTATTGACTAAAGCATGTTTTATCAGTGTTTTGTAAAAATTTACATGACATTTTAAATCTGCACATTTTGCTATATACGTTTCTTAATGGTGCACTGGGGAGGGGGGGCTATGTGAGGATCACAGAATACAAATGGCGGAGGGTGTTTTGAGGGCTAGTTTTCTGCCCCTAAACTCTCTGTGGGCTTCATGGCCCATCAAAACTTTAAACATCTCCCTCAATGAAACTGAAAAGGGCTAGAATGCCACTTCCAGTTTTGATAAAATCATATTTTGGGGTATTAAAGAGTGCAGGGGCCCTCCACCACTGATTTAAAATGTGAGCTGCCTTCACCAAAGGCTTCCAGAAGCTACCATTTTCCTCATCCAGAAAGAGGGAGCCAGGAGAGCACTGGGGCCCACAAAAATATCTTAGGATAGGATGCGCTCACATCCTACAAGGATGTAGATTATATGTAGATGGCCGGCATATATGAGATGTCATATGCTGATGTCCGACAGAGCTTAACAAGGCTTACTCTCAAGTACATGATCACTGAATGACAGCTTCAGATATATTTATAACATGTTTGTAGTCTGGTAAACCTTTTTCTTTTTTATACTACCAATATGCCTGCATATTACGCATCATTACAGCTGTTCAGAACGTTTCATAAGGGTAAATAAATTTTTGGGAGTTTTTACAACCTTGCATGTCGGCTGAAGAAGGTGTGGCTGGGAGGGACCCTTTCTGGGCTGATTGTCAATCTATCCAGCACTAACCAATCATTCCTTCTCTGCCTTTGAATTCAAAGAGAGACCCGCCCTTCTGATTTTGTGGGGTTTTTTTTTGCCTCTCTAGATTCAGTTGACGTCTGTTGATGAAAGCAGTTATGTTTGTTAACCTTTCTGTTTAATCTGTTCAGAAGTGTACATAACGAAAATTGCTTATATTCTTTCTACTACTAATGTCTCGGGGTCAGTTATTGAGACTGTAAGTGCCAGTTAATGGGCAAAGGGGCGACTTGTTCTGGGGAACTTGAAGCTATTCTGCTCTGTAAATCCCTGAACTGCTACTGTGCAGTTAAAGGAATTTAATCAAAAATTCAAAGCACTGAAACATAAACTGTTCAGACATAGTAGCTTTGTTAGCCTGTACTTTGTTGCAGTAAACCTAACATAAAGCCTTGAGAATCAAGAAGCTTTATTTGGCACAAGCTTTTGTGGACTGTATTTTGACCTTCCATCTCAAAAAGTGAGTTACTGTCCATGAAAATGTATGCCAAACAAAATTTGCTAGCCTTTAAGAAAACCCTTCTGTCTGTTTACCCTCAGCCAACCCAACACACACAGAGACTGATTTTTATATTTCTTCTTGAAATACTTGCAGTAGGGAGGGAGATCCAATATTTCCACCTCAGCACTTGAGTTTTGTACATTTTGGATTCAGCAACTAAAACAAGAGCATAATTAAAATCTCTCTTATTTCTGCCAGAGCTCAATTGGTAACAACCTCGGAGTAATGCAAGAAGATGTGATTGTGTTAAAGAAAATACCTTCTTTAATGAGTCTCCAGGGAGTAAAAAAAACTTCATGCAGCAGAAGATTGGGAAGACTCGGGTCCTCTCGGTACACCGTGTTGAGCCTCTTTATCACAGGATGAATTGCAGCGTGAGCAAAACGAAAAGCTGCTGTGGCGAATATATTGGTGACTGTGGGATCGACGGAGGGATCGTAGCCTTTATAAGCACCGACGTATTGGTCGAAAGCCTCTGGGCCAATGATTTTGGGGATGTAGTCTCTCATGGTAATAATCTGGGAGAAGGAGAAAATTAGAGAAAAGCAAAATGTTTCTTAGGTATGGTTTGTGATAAAGTCTTCACTGTGTGGAGGCATTTCCTGAATGAGAATATTTTTTGCCAGATGCTTGGCTTTCTTTCTTTCTCATGCATTTATTCAAGTATTCGCAAGCTTCCTTTCGGCATCAAGGCTTGGACTGATAGATATTCAAAGACTGACTAACAACCACTGCCAAGACATCTTCTGCTTTCCAAACAGAGCACACGTATTTGTAATCTATGTTACTTGGTGGAATCTCTTGCTGAATAACCACACATCTGCTTCAGGGTTTCGGTAAAATGAGCGGTTGCAGGCGAGGTGGCCATACAAGTAATCTCACTTCCTGACAGCCATGTTGCATACCAACATGCCTAGGTACTTGCTGGTAAGCCCTACTGAAGTCAAAATAAAGCCTTGAGGGTTTTACTGCGACAGAACCTGAATATCTGACAGAGTTCAGGAAATCTGTTAGTGTCTGACCATTAAGCAGGACAACAAATAGGAAAAAGCTTAATATCTGTCTCTCCACCAGACAGGGTGTTATGACAGTACTGTAGTTTCTCTTCATCAAAGTTAATTGGCTTAATACCTTTTAAAAAGGAGCAGGGAGCAGGGAGACAAAAGAGGAGCAGGCCTGGATAGAGTTTCAGAGGTCTGAAAGTGTTGTGTGTGTTTCAGTGCAATTTTAGGGGGCAATAAGATGAACGTATGGCTCGCTGTTTGGTTCACCCTATTTTCTGGTGGCTGCATGTACTTTGAGTCAGAGCGATCCTTCCCACCCCCTCTTGTGAGCTACTCAGCTCCTTTCTGGCACAGAGCTAGGGCTACAGTTCATTTAGTGCAATTGGGAGTGCACCTGAGTATCCCGTTTTGTAGTATGTGTCTTCTACAAGAGTCCTCCTTTTTCATGCCTTCACTCTCCTGCTGTGGTCCACTACAAGCTATTCTCTTATTCAGCCCTCCCCATTTTCTTCCGTCATGTTTGTGAGTTCTTGGTTGGCATCTGCTTTATACCTTCCTGGATCAACACCTCCACTTTGGATGACTGACAGAACAGTAGAGAGAGAGGCATAACTTGTTCCTTTCTCCCTTCTAACCACACGTTCCTGCCTCATCCCCCTCAGCTCTACCTCAACCGTCTCCTTTCTCATCCCTCTTCTTGCTCAAATCAAGTCCAAATCCAAGCCCAAGTGACATCCACAGCCTTTCCTTCTTCTCTTCAGCCCTCTTTCTCACCCACACTTGGCCAGCCTCATAAGCAAATAGCTGATTGCTCGTATAGTATCCTATCAACCGACCGACCGACCGACCGACCGACTGACCGACTGACCAACCAACCAACCGACCGACCGACCGACCAACCAACCAACTAGCATCATTAGCTGGGGGGGGGGAGTTCTGGTATGTTTCCATTGCTCCCTGTGTTCCATATGAGTATACCTCTCTATCTAGACTACTAGATCTGAATATTATCTTCACTTGGCTGCTTCATTCTAGTCAGTATGGTAAGCATTAGTTTCTACACTCCTGATATCAGATTAACTTCTGGTGTAACAGGGGCAGGGGCACATTGGGAAGAGTTTTCTATTAGTGCAAAATTTCAGCTAAACCCCTGCAGGCACTTGTGTTCCTGAGAGGTGTAATTCTGAGACAGTGAGAAGTAACAAAGGATTGTTTAGAGATCCATGTCACTAAATTTGGCAGCTGGGTAGATAAGCAACTGGGTAGATAAGCAGGTCTCAAAGCAACTGTGTCTTCATCAATATCTGCCAAAGAAGCCTAGCATCCTGAGGTGGCATTTCACTATTGGCCTACTCACTACCCATTAGCCAAAATCCTATTGCTTAGTGTAGTAAATTGCATTAGACCATTGCAATCTGTTGAATCAATAAGAATTTAGTAAGTCAGCTCCTTTGTAAGTTCTATTGACTCAAACAGTCCAATTCTAACTGCTTACTATGCTAAAACAGGTCGCAATCAGAATAGGTCCATTTGAATCAATGGAATTTACAGAGGAATTGACTCACAAAATCCCCATTGACTCAACAGGCATAGTCTAGTGCAATTCAGTACACTAAGAAACAGGATTTTGGCCCGTGTGTCTTCCTCTGTTCCCTGATTCTAAGATGGCAAAATGGCTCTTGTTACCTCTGATTTTCTAAAGCTACCAAAGTTACCACCATCCAAAGGCAAGAGATACTAACAAGAGTCGAGAGAAACAGCATTATCTCATCGAACCTTAATGCACCTCAAACCATGCCATTCTTTAGGCAAAACCCTGGCAATAGGTCCATTTGTCATAGACATGGCAGCTCTCAATACCCATTGCAAGAACTCTATTTAGGCAGCATGATCTTCACCCCATTATTAGTCATATGCTTTTTGACAGCATGTTTCTTTCTCATGCTTAATATTGGCCAGATTTTGAGATACCTTGCTCACAAAAATCCAATCGATCCATTTAAACCTATCAGCAGACAATTCACACCGAAAACCATATATTTTGTTATAGAAATACTAAGTGTTCTCTGGCAAAAGCTCTCATAATGTAATAGGGCTTATTGAAGCATATAGAGAAATCTTTTAAGCAAGTCTGATCAAAAGAGAGGAAATGATATATTGGAACGGGTAGAATGAAAACTGCATTGCAGATTTAAGATTACATTGGACTTAATAAAGAATAATGGGATAAATACAAAGTATAGAGAACTAATAAAATACACGGTATGTTTGAGGTAATGTGCAATAAACTGAACAGACAAATACACTATGCACTTTGATATAGTGCATATTGAGTACTCTATCAGGGATAAAATAGTTTCATCAGATAATGTGCTTGATTCTTTCACTGGGGGAGGGAGGTGGGTTATATAAAAAAAGGAAGTTCAGACAAAATTCAGAAGATGCGCCCCCCTCCTTAATTAGCTGCATTCACCCTGGAGAAGCTGAGCTTGGCTTCTTTGCCTCATAACATTCAGTGATGCTCTTTGTAAATTAACTACACTCCGACAGCAAAGTCTGAAATATGATAGATTATTAAGAGACGGCACATTTGTTTTCGAGGTTCCATTTCCCTAGACGATGCCTGCCAGATCGTTAGATTGGCTGGCAGTAGAAACAGAGATGCCATTTTCGGCTCATTTGATGCACAATTAAGCATCTCAATGCTGGCGGTGGCCAGTACTCACCTCGGCCTCTAAGAGGAAGCTATGCCAGATGCACCCAATTTTTCAAGTCTTATTTCCAGTACTGGAATGAGGGATTTTGACAGCCGGTACATGCCCCCGGTTGTATAACCCAGTGGTCCCCAACCTTAGGCCTCCAGATGTTCTTGGACTTCAACTCCCAGTAATCCTAGCCAGCAGAGGTGGTGGTGAAGGCTTCTGGGAGTTGTAGTCCAAGAACATCTGGAGGCCCAAGGTTGAGGATCACTGGTATAACCCACCTTTCTCCTATGATCTCATAAACTTAAAAGAAGAAGAAGAAGAAGAAAGTATTGACTAAATAGGACACCACCTCAAGGAAATGAAATAGTGGGGATTGATGTGAGGTAATTTATAAAAAGGGAAGGATGGACATCACTGCTGCCTTCGCTGAGCTGTTTGGCTCCCCCCACCCAGCACTTTCCAAGAGCATCCATTAATTCCAGTTTGAAGAGCAACCACCACACAATGTACCATGATTTTCATAGGTATCGCTGGTTGGTTAGCTCAGTGAGATAGGTATCTGGCTGCAGAGTCTGAGTTTGGGAGCTCAATTCCCTGCTGTGCCTCCTGTGATTAGAGCCAACCTGTGTGTCCATGGGGCAAACTGACTCTTCTGGGAGAAGCACAGTTGGGAGCTAAACTCCCAGCCTCTGGCTCCACAACCAAATACCTAACCCGCTGAGATATCAAGCTCATTTACCTCCTTAAATAAAACAGAAAGAGGAAGAGAGACACATCTCCCTTGAGGTGTGTTCTAAGCCTTAGAATCTGTTTTTAGTACCAGAATTGAACAACCAGAATTATTTTAATGCGTGTCACTTTAGAGTGAAAAACAAAACCTTCGCTGATGTATGCAAAACGCTAGAAGATGAGAACCAGTACATCCCAAACTATTTGGTACATGCCTCTGTTTTAGCTGTAGTAACTACTGAAGTGTTTGGATTCCTTGGTTATTCGATCAATTGAATGATAAGAGCGCTTTTTCAAATGACAGATGAATTGACTGAATACAAGTGACGTTACACAAGGATTATGCCGATCACTATGCCCATCAGGTGCAAGTCCAAACAGACCAGCAGCATCTCTGCAATTGGCACAGCAGTCCACAGGGCGGCAGCCAAACCACCCGGCTAGCTGGGACATTCTCCATTAGGTATGTACTTTTCCTGTTCCCAGAGATGCACACACTTATTGCTTGCTTGCTTGCCTGCTTGCTTGCTAGATTGCTAGATTGATAGATTGATTGATTTTTGCTGAGACTGCTATAACATGAAGGCCAAACTCTCAGGTAATATCCTAAGTGCCAATTCCCTTCTAAATTTTGCATTCGAATCAATGGTATCAGGGTGCATCTTGAGATGTCTTGCTGAAACAGTGTATGTCATGCCTGTGCTAGCTCAAGACAGTTTGCAGGTTGAAGCCCAAAATTCCTGCCTCCCCACTATAATGCTTTTAAAAGTCTTGCTGCATCCTATAAAGAGGAAGGCAAGCCCTAATCCTGAAGCAGGTCATTCACTCTAGTGGTTGACTAGTCAGATCTGTATACTCATAAAACACACACATATATACAGAGAGAGAGAGAGAGAGAGAGCTGTCAGTTTTTGCAGGGGATGTCTCCCACAATTTCATCATCATTTAGATGCTTTTTTTCTATCAAAGGGCTCAAGTGTGATTTTTGTTTTTTACATTCAAAGATACACATCTCCCCTGCTCTTACATCATTTTCTCCCCAGAAGTGACCTCTTCTGTTCAATAGGACTCCAGAATTAG